AATTAATTGAGATATTTATGAAAATGATGAGAGTTCATTTATTATGATTTGAATATTTATGGAAGATGAATAGAGTTCATTAATTATGATCAATATTTTATATTAGGAAACAATCAAAATTTCTATAAAATCACATATTCATCAAATTAAATGGATGACTGAGATTGAGTTGTATTGGTTGTACAAATGTAAAGAGTTGTATAATAACCGACCTCTCTCTCTCTCTCTCTCTCTCTATATATATATATATATATATATAATATATATATATTTATATATATTCATATATATTTTTTCTTTTTTGTCAGTTCTTTTCCCCCACACTCGATTATCATCAAAATTAGTCAACATCAATGTGTTATTTGTCAAATACCTTGATCTGTCAAACAGTTGGTTCTAGAATCATATACTTGTACAAGCATACAAGGGTTCGAGATGATAACTATAGTGTGAAAGCTACAAATCATATGTAGATTAGGGTTCTTGTGGGCACTATGCTCAAGTTAGAGACTTGGCAGTCTTTTGTATACCTGATTTGCCTCACATAATGTTCCTTGGGTGGAACAGTTCCGACTAGGGGTTTGCAAGTCACAAGCTTTTTTGCACAAACACGAAACATACTTGAGTCGTTTGTTAGATGTAAGGGTACACAAAAACCGTCCAATCTGACCAATCCAAACCACAAACATCAGGTTAGTTTGTTCAAATGTCTTTAAACTGACCAATCCATCTCGCATACTCTTAGAAAGTCAAAACCCCTACAAAAAATTTCATTGGTATTTCATATGTGCGGAAATGACATAATAACAAAAATTAACAATCTATAAATGAAAATGTCGTGTGTATTTGTGTTCAATTAAGAGATAAAAAGAAGAATACCTTGAAGTTTGAATCCGACCAACCCAACCAAACACACACGGTTCAGGTTGAGATTTCACAAACCGCAAACGATTGGTTGGATTGTTCAAATACCTTCAAACCGGCCAACCCAACCCGTATCCAACCCTGGTTAGACATGTACACACATGACATCTCGAAAGCTCGCCTCTTAATGGCATTCAAGTACAACAACATGGTGCATTACAAAATCATTTTAAAACAATATGGCGAATTTATTTATATACAACAAAGAGGATAAACTTGAAGCATTCTTTTCGCTCTACCTACATTGCAACAAAATCTTCCATTTTATATGCTGCCTATACTACAACAAATAGCCCAAAAAAAGGTACTTCAAAAATGAACAACTGCAAACGTTCATCATCTAATACACTTACAACTATGATGATTGCCAAAACGCTGCAGTGTCACTACTATATAACGATCGATCTTGAATCTCCAAGTTTGCAATATGCCAATTTATGAAGCGCGACTGGATAAATCTACACACAACTAGTGCAACCGGAAAAATCCACCATTCGCTTTCCTCCCTGCACCAACCAACCAAACATTACACAACAATTACGTGTGCGCCTGTGTCGGTGTGACCAAATAAGGCTGTTGTTGAGCAGACACCACTACAACAAATGGGATGTTTAGGCGCCTAGTGAAGTACCTTACAGAACTCGAGTTAACAAGTGACATCTTTGAGGTTATACAATGGCGTTACAATAAGTTGTTGGAAGAAAGTAACAAAGAAGTTGGACAATCTATCAAGACAAAAAATAAATTGTCTTAATAGCGTTTAGAACACTTTTGGAGTGTCCTATTAGCCTTTTTTACAGGACATCTTTCAAAAATGTCTTATAAAAAGGCTAATAAGACGATTTAATTCTTTGGGTTTTGTTAGATTGCTCAATTTCATCGATAAAACTTGTTAGGTCGTCTAACTTCATCCTAACAACTTACTGTAACCCATTGTATAGGACGCTTAGTTATTGGTCCTAAAAACTTAAAAAGCTCGGTAAAACTCTATTAGGGCATCCAAGGATCCTAAAAGCCCGATTTTGTTGTAGTGCACGCCCAAGCAGTCTCATTTATTAGAACTTGACCACCATGAGTATGTTCTCACATGGTCCACGGCTGGACGTCTGCAGCTGTTTTACTGGGCTGAGTGCAGTAATGAGCATAACCACAGATAAAAGCAACCACCTAGCAGTAACAAAAGGTAGAAACTTATCAGCCTAACACTTAACCATATATGGTCGTTGGAACCATCGTTTTTAACATGAGAATCTTGATCCACCAATAAACAGGGCTGCAACTAGCAAGTAGCAACGACTTACCACATTGACTAAGGACGTTATGTTCCAGAGAGCATATATACGAGCCAGCCCAGCGGAGCGCTTGGGTCCTTGACTAAACAGAGCATTAATACCAGTAGGAAAAGGAAGCAATATCCCAAGTGGCAAAATGAACAGAACCAAGAACACGTCCGCTAAAGAAAACGAATATAACTGGAGCAATGTAAGCAAAACAAGACTAAAATCTCCTAATAGTAGCATTGAGATCACCAAACCAACAAGATCCTGCACCAAGCATTGATAGATTTTGTTCAGAAACTGAGTCTTTTATAGGCATTAATACACATAGAGGAAAGTTCATTAGGAACCATAAATATTTAGAGAACTGAGGAACCACATATTCATAATGAATATACATAAATTTTCTTCCCAAAAACATATAGATCCATAAATATGCATAATGAATATCATAATTATTCATCACCAATTTCATGAATATTCATTATGAATATTTGGTTTCATGGTTGTCAAATGAACCTGCCCCAACACGGTTACAGGAATGAGCATAATAAACCAGATGGAGGAGTTAGAAATAACCTGGTGGCCAACAGGTTTAGTGTTGTGAACTATAAAAGTGAAGGGAAAGAATACATCTCTCTTTTCCTTGAGCGTTTTCAAACTGTTGATATCTAATACCCTACCATAACTCTTCTTTTGTGTCAGATTATCATCGGCACCTCCGTGTATTTGATTTGAAGCCTTAAGTTCTTTTGAATCATGAATTGGATCTTCTTGAAATACATTAACGTCATTACTGTTGAAAGGAAAAGCAAGAGTTCGTTATGTTGGTAACAAGAATATATGGTGAATACTGTTGCAGAAAAACTTTATAACTAACAAATGCATGCAGTACATTCCACAGCACCATATGTGTGTACCCATAAAAACAAACAAGATTTCCACCAAAGAAGCAGATATGAAGAAAAACGCATTTGTCATTCAGAGGTACACCAGTTCATCACGTCTTGTAGAGATGGAGATTCAGTCGAAGATATTAAACATGCTTATATATACGTTTACTTGTATTACCATCATTATAAGCACACGGATGAACTTTATACAATAGCTGGAAGTCTCTCCCTACTCTATGTCTAAGTTTAATCACTTCTACAAGTGGATTTTATCTGTATAAGTAATATGATGCAAAGAGTAGTCCAAACTAGATGTCTTTAAAATCTGTAAATAAACAAAGATTATTAGGCATTCATTTTTCTACTTCTCGGCCAATTTATCAGTTTACTTTCAGCTTTCCATTTTCACTTTATTGTTTATACAAATAAAAATATAGTTGATTTACAGTTTCAGTGATTAGCATTAAGAGCAAAGGGAGTTTTACAGCACAATTTTTTTTATGCATCACTATCGGTCTGTCACACAGACACATCAAAGAGTTGACAATCATTTGTATAAAAACCAAACGTATCTGGTATATATATATATATATACCACTCAAAGTAGGGTATGGGGATGGTATGATGTATGCAAACATTTCCACTACCCCAAGGGTAGAAAGGTTGTTCGCCAGCTTGCAAAAAAGCGATGGAGAGACAAGAGGACAAAGGATCTGTCAAAACAATTTCCTTTTTGAAAATCTATGGTTTTGAAGAGACGCTATAGAGCATGATATAGGAAAAAATTACTGTAAAAGAATGTGAGTAACAAGCAGACAACAAGGACAGCAAACTGTAACAATAACAATGATATATGCAAGAAAAAAGGTAAAACGAGTCAAAGCAAGTAAAGCCGAGGATAAAATACTAAAATACCACCCATTTACGACTAAGAACTTAGGCTAAATCCTCTTACTCCAACAATGACAGGATATTACTAACCTTTCTCTCAGCTCTCACCCCACCCCCTATCTACAATCCCTATAAAATGAGAACTGGAAAAGATCCAAAAAATAAATTTAAAAAAAGTAAAACGATAAATTATCAATAACCCATAAAACCAGCATTCTTAATAAATGTCCACGAAATCTCGCATCCCCTGAAGTATTATACCATATCCTGAGGGGACTTTGATGAGGATTGATGAACCCCTCCAATGCAAATGTACCAAACAAAGTATTGGGGCAACTTGTGATGGAGAGAGTAAATATCAAGTCTCTATGAGGACTGGGGACCTAAGTCTCTAGATAGACGCGAATAGTCTTCATTAGGGCTTCGACTGTAGGATTTTGAGCCTTGCCCCCTACAAGCAGTTGGTTACTTGATATGACAGACATATTGAACAGGAACTATATAAAGGGCATACATGTATATATCAAGCAATACGTATGGAGGTTGATAACTCGATTGAAAACATTTTACCTAGCTAGTTCGGCCCTTCCAGTAGCTCCATCAACCTGTACAGCAGATACCAGAAGTCCATACTGATAATGGTTCCCATCTGTAGCTTGAAACAAAGCAAGGTCAACCCGTACACCGTAAATCTCCAAAGTCGGATTGGCATGAGTTTCAATCCAGTCCACAACTGTATGAAACATTACCCTAAGTCGACCCCGACAAACCAACCGCAATTGCGCATTTAAACCAGCTACAAAACGATACCAAGTAGTAGGAGGAACAGACTGAAAGTAACAAAACAATAATCAACGTAGGTACATCAAGAATGGACATGCAAAAAGTTGGATAAACTAGAACAATAAAGGGCCGTTTACCAAACGCTTACCGGTAAGAGTCACCACTCACTTACCTTACTGGGTAAAATTCTCTTGGCCATCAAAATGGCATAGTAGGCTATTACCTTACCATCATAAGACTATGGGTCCTTGCCATGCCTCTTTACCGGGTAAGATACTTGGTCTTTGCCATGCTCACCCGGTTAGCTTTTGGTAAACGGCCCCTAAGTCACTTTTTAACCAAGTATAATCCTTGGAATCAAGTGGTAAACCTGATTAATGAGACTTGTAACAACGTTGTCACTGTGAAGTGAGAAAGGAGCCATATAACTTCCATCGCCTCCAAACAGAAGAGACAATGGGAATCTTTGATGAAGACGAGGGGGAAGATCACTTCTCTTTTCATCACCCCCAAGAAAGAAGTCCACATAAGCTAGCATTAAATCAGATGTTGCAGCTACCTAAAACATCACATAACAATAATTAGAAGCAGAGAGATCTTGTAAGTCTTCTTCTAAGCAATATATTTCTCCCTCAGTTAAGAGCATAAAATGTAATGACGACCATAGAACAATATCATCACAGACATAGGGAGAACTAAAATACTAAAATAATAACAATATTTAACTAAATCTTGAAGTTTGTATTTAAAGGATGATAAAATGACAAAATTCATGGAAAATGATTTGTTTGATATTATGGATGACTGGTTACAGAGGGACCGTTTCGTTTTTTAGGCTTATCCTACGAACCCATACCCTTTAACTTAAAGTTTGACAAAGAAAACAACAAACTTTCAGAACCATGTGTCGTGCACTTCAGTTTGTTGTTCCCTCCATTCCTCCATTGTTTCTGCTTACAGCACTCATTCAAAAGCAAAGAGTAATGTACAAAAATGGGAGTTCCTTCATCTATCTCTATAAACAAAAGTTTATGTTTTGAATACAGTGTGGAGACTAGATTTCCAACTCAGACTTAACTACCTATGCTATCAGCTCAATACTTTCACTTTTTGTCATATCATTCGACTCCTTCATCTCCCTCCAAATAAAAGGAAGTTTATGTCCTGAAACCAGTGCAGGGACTAGATTCCCATCTTAGCCTTAACTAGTTATGCCACTGATGACTGACCTAACACTTAATCAAGCTAAATACATCATAATTTTATTTTTGAGAAAGCAAACCAATATATCTTTCAAAATGGACTAACCTTAAGCCCTTCATAGAGAGCACGCGATCGACAGGAACGTAAGCAAGCATGGTCATACTCAGACCTAACAAACTCACGGAGTCGTTGCAATTTCAATTTTTGCCTCCACTGTTGCCATGACCATGCAAGAGGGTAAGCAAGGAAGAAAAGAATGCTGTATATTGATCCCTCCCACCACTGATAAGCGGCTAAAGCATTAATTTCATCCACAAATCTATTAAATGCACCTTCATACCTGCAAGTTCAATCAAATACCCTTAGGATAATACTGGGTATCATAATATCTGATGAAGAATGGCTCGCCTCTGTAGACTTTAAATATGTTCATCCCTCATATTTCAAAGGCAAAAAGAAAGTGATTTTTTAACTAACATACAACAAGACACTATCCACCATATAAGACAAGAAAGAGAATAAAAGCAACAGGGCAACAAGGGTCAGGAATTTACACAATGTCTATCACTTGCTCTGGAGGTGTATGAGGAAGACGCCAAGGTTCCGTGAAAGTATTTTGACCCATAAAGTACATCCGATGCACATGACCTTGAGATTCCTCGACTCTGTTCGTTTCCATAACCTGCAAGCCAAATGATACAATATCATCAATATTTATGAACAAACGGTGGTTAAGTAATCACTCGGTTCATACAATCACTATATAGACAAATTAGCAAGAAGTTCAAAAAACCTCATTCAGCGACTCCAAGAAAGGAAATGAGTGATCTATCTGAGAGCCTTGTGTTCGACCAGACCCTGTTGACTCGTCAAATCCTATAAATTTCATCCTTGCAACACTAAGCACCAGTGCCAACAGGATAAGAAGACCCAATAGAAGAAGACCAAATAACCAAGGCCCGCCAAATGTGTCCATTAACTCTTCAAGAGCAGTGTAACAATATGGCATATGATATTTATCTGAAATGCATTTGTAAGGACAGGGAGTTTCGACAGTACCCCCTATGAGAAGCGACGAAGGTTTAATCAGTCACTTGAAACCAATAGATTCATAAGGTCAGTGTAAGAAAAATTGCAGAATAACAATCTGTTATCTGCCAAACCTGCATGGACAGATGCTCGAGTTGCTATAAAAAATGAATCATCAGCTGTAACTCAATACCTCTGACAGAAATATAGAATGCACGATGGGGAAGTTCATCGACAGGGCACGCGAAACATAGTGCCTTATCAGACCCTGTAACATTTTTGTATGTACCGACAGGGCATTCCTGTTCAAAAACAAGAAAACCCACAAAAAAATTACTCCTTTCAACAGTGAGGTAGTACAGCCAGAGTAACCCCATCATAATCAATTGTATTACATTTTAAAAACTAGAAATGAAGAAAAGTAAACTCTAGCAACTACAATGAACCCAAAAGGCAAACATTAATAGTTGAACCACCAGATGTTTCCAAGACATGAATGGCATCCTCACACACACTTCCATGTTCCACATAAACCCAACTCCCTAGGCATTACTCGAACAAAATGTCTTCATTACTTCTCCTTGTGCCAATTTTGACCTATCTTATCCCTCCTAACACCGTTGGTACAAGTATCCTCATAAAAGGTCCATTTGAAGGCCTAGGTTGGATATGACTTAACAATCTTCTCAAACAGTGAACAGTGTAAGCTTCTACTTGGTCGGTGTCATCTCACCCATACACCCTGATTTCTAAACATATCCCTCGGTGTGGCCACACATACCTCCAAGGACTTTTTTCTCCTCAAGAGCACACATCACTCTCTTGGAACCCTATCATACACCTTCTTTTGCTCAACAAACACCAGAAGCCAATCCTTTTTATATCTCATATATGTGAGTTGTCTATTCAAGATTAAAGTATCTACCATTGATCATCAAGACATAAAAACCAAAATGCGACAACTTATTCACAAAATATCTCAAAAGTTTCAGGTCATGAATAGGTGTTATGGCATACATCTAAAAAGAGAGATATAAAGTGGACTATGTAGAATCTCAATGGAAACTACTTAAATTGACGGAAGAGTGCTCAAGTCGCAATAAATTTGAAAATTCATTTTCAGGCATAACTTTAGCATACCTCCAAGTAGGATGAGCTGGATTAGTTTTTTTTTTTTTGATTAACTTGGATATCCAACCCGCTATGCGAGCTGACTAATCCCAGGGCAACCACCTGCTTTGCAGATAGCCCGGAGTCACCGCATTTGAACCTCCGTGGCCACAAGGGGATTTTTATTCCTCCTTGGATTTGAACCTGAGACCTCTTGGTACTTTTGACCTTTGGAGCCAAGCTCAAACCAATCAGGCACCACCCTTGTGGTTGAGCTGGGTTAGTTTTGTTTGGTTTAGGCATAAAGTTAACATACCTCACAGAATGTGCCATAAAGCCCTTTCGGACAAGATTTTCCAGTGACTGTTCCAATTTCCCCAGCACCATCTTCATTTCCACCCAACCCTCCCCTATATAAAAAGTATATACATTTATAAGTTAGACAAAGAAGCATCACAAGTGCATGCGTAGCATAGGCATATAAGTAGGAGCCAGAGGTTTCTTTATTTCTTGTTTCTTATGTCAAGAAGTTGTTACAGTTATTCCTTACAAAAAACATGCTCCCAAGCATCTATATCTACATAAATTTCAGCCTCGGACCTGATGTTACAGGCAATCACAAGTAACAAGTCTGGAACATATACATAACCTTGTTATCCCCAGTTTGTGAATTGACTCAGAAATATTAGACTACTCGTTTTGGCGCTATTTACCTCCATTCTTCATTTTGCCCCATCTCAATTCTCCTTAATCAAGTAAACGGGACCACAATCACATCTTTATTTCTCCTTACATAATATAAGACAAGATCAACTTAAATCACCAAAGCAATAGATTGTGTGAAGTTAGGTTAAATGCAATGCCCCGCTATATACAATTTATGTTGTTTACCAATTTATCTTTCTAATTTCCTGAGATGAGCAGTACAGTGCAAAATACATGCAGGATACAAACTATTTTAAAGATTAACAGAAGCAAAAAAATTTGCACATTTATAGTGCTTTTTGAGTTGCAAAAACAGAGACAGCAAAAAAGATTTCTAATATGAGCATGTAAAAACATACAATGAACTACACCGTCTATGGCTTGTAAAGACATTGGATAGATAGGGATAGATTTTATTTGGTAGAAAGAGAGAGACAGGTTTTATGCTTATTTCCTTAATTTATTTCTCCTTTATTTTATGAATAGATTATGCTAGTGTTATGACAAAATAGATGAGAAATAGAAGAATAGTTATATTTTTTCAGGTATCAAAGCTCTGATAGCTCTTCTCTATATCTTCACCGTGGGCCATCTCACCCAAGCCTGACTTAACTCCATCTAAAACCCTAGCAATTGCCCATTTTCCAAATTGGCTAAAACCTTATTAACAGTCAAAACCTTAGATCACCGCACCTTGCCGCCCCGTTGCAGCCCTCGCGACAGCCTCTTGCGGCCCCTCATCCTGTACTACTATTATTGTTGCTAGTTCTCTGCCCTTCGGGTCTCTACCATTTCCCCATTGTCGCCGATTAGCCGCTACAATCAGCTACTCCTAATCACCTTTCACAGCTGACGATCTCATAACAAAGCAAATCACAACATCGGTTGTTTAGGGCAGCAACAAAGATCAACAAGAAACAGCAGCAGAAACTTTAATGGAGGGCTACATGATCGTGTAAGAAACCAACGGCAACACCACTGAGATTGGGTGGAATACAAACTCGCAGCAGAAAATTCACTGGAGGTGGCACACGGTCATGCCAAACTCACATGCAATCATGCACGGTCGTATGGAACAAGCAAAGCCAAAGAACAGTCAAAAACCTATATCAGAAATTGTATAATCAATTTGGCAGTAGTTCCAATGTCAAAAGGTTTGGTTGCTCAAACTGGACCTTCCACAGTCTTAAGTCTAAAAATAAACTTGGACTGTGGACACAGGTGCATTACAACAGGCGATGCTTCACTCCTACAGAACTATAAATCTAACAGTGATCATGCATCTGTCTGATTTTTTATGGATCAAGCACTCAGATTGCTTGGACAGGTTCTATCCAACTCACTAATGTGTTGGAACTCCACTATGTTCTTAATGTTCAGATCTTGGTTGGAACTTGTCCATTAGTAAATTATCTTCTGATCTCCATTGTGTTACTAAATTTTACCCTAATTTACGCATCTTTCAGGGCTTAAAATCTGAATGGGGTATGTCATAGGTTTAGCCCTCTGCTGCAAGAAGAGCCATCGGATAATGGAACTAAGAGAACCACGAGGGTGAAGCTTCAAAGTAAATACTAACTTAAAGCCAAGAAAACACTTCATAGAAGAAACATATTTTCAGGCACAAAACAAAGATGGCATTTCTTCATCAAAGAAACTAGTCAAGACATCTCTAAAGAAACAAAACAAAAGGGAACATTGCAGCAAATAATAATGTGCTACCAACATGATAGTGATCTTCCAATCCAACGAAGCTATTATGATGAGGTGTATAGCATACAATGATTCATGCAACATACAATTTCCTGGCACATGATAATGATATGGCCGGGATGCCCCGTTTATGAACTTAAATTCCAAACATAGCATTGATTAGACAGAGTAAGAACAGAGATTTTAACGAACCTAGTGGATATGTTTCCCTTAACAGTAGCAATGGGCTGATATACCTCCCCAATTGGTATGTGTGACCAATGAAAATGAATTCTTCCACCGCCACCTCCACCACTCCCATTTGGACTACCTTCACCTCCAACACTTGAAAGAAGTCCAGACTCACCAACAAATAAAACATTCAAGAACACAAGAATCGTTCCACCAGATCCTCCCCCAGAACCTTGAACCTGATCACCAATATGATGATGTTTGTTGACAATGTTCTCTTTATAACTCCCTCCATCAGCTCCTGCTGAACCATCAACAGACAAACTTGACAAAGGATGTTCCGACGAACCAATCACTGCATACAGAAACACATGCAAATCCACAATTATTGTGTTTCTTATAAACAATCAACAGTATGATGACTGTTATCCCCTCCCACAAAAGTAGATGAACAACCAAACAGTAAAATAAGAAAGCTGAGAGAATAAAATCCATACTAATAAGTCAGATGAACCAAAAAAGAAGATCCTTTGATTTACTTATAAAATTCAAGTTGACTGTTGACTGAGCCACCGATTAAGGAAAAAAATAGAAAAATCTCCGATTATTTAAATTCCATTTAAATGCTATTGATAAACATTCAAAAGTAGCAAAAGTAGCCTTAAAGCAAAAAAGATCGTATCAACCTATACATGATATAGCCTATCCCAACTTCATTACCAGAAAAGAAAATTTCAAATTAATTAAAGTTGACTACTTTGGCGTCTCACCTTGTGATGAAAGCACTATACACCTTTAGAGGTGCTTCTTCATGGAGCTATTACCATGGAATATCTGAAGTACTATGAGGCTATTACCTTTAGAAAATTTCACTCTAAGCATGCTTTTTATGCTTCATACTACGTCATCATACGTATCTGATAGTAAATATGTAAATGATTTATTTTAGGTTTTGCTTCCTTTGATGTATATGGTCAGTTTCCTTATTTTGCATGTGTAATTCAATTATATATTGAGAGGAATACAATGGGAAAAGGACGAGGATTCCAATCCCTTACATGGTATCAAAGCTATATGTTCCTACCTCTATGTGAACCAAGTTTGAGAGCTATGCTGTTAAAGTGGTGAAAATACAAAATTTTGGTCAGGACCGATATTTGAAATAGCGGTTATAGCGGTGGTACAGCTGTCCAAAAATAGCGGTTCATATAATATTTCTTAGAATTATATACAAAACAGAGGGAGCAGATGTTGGAGTAGAGGGAGTTAATTGACCAATCTGCTTTGATTTTCTTATCAACCAAGATTAAGAATTCAGACTCCGTACTCGTGGTACCTGGAAACAGAAGCTGGAAGTCTGGAACAGAAGCTGAGAGCCTGAGACTCGCTGGTCGTGGTCGTCTAAAGCAGATGAGATCGCCGAACAGAGCCCAGAAGAACAGATGGTCTAAAGACTAAAACAGGTTGTCGATAGAGAAACCTAGTTCTTCCTATTTATGTTAATGCATTAAACTTAAGAAAAATAAAGCCCAAAAAAAGAAAGACTGGAAATAAAGACCAATCCACCCCCCCCCCCCAAAAAAAGTTACGTTAATATTGAACACAATTGACCCTAAATATCGGTCAAAATTGCGGTAAATTGCGCCGATAATTGTGCTACCGCAATTTAAACCACAATCAGACCACCATTATTTTGCTAATGTCCGCTATCCGAGATACCGCCGCAATTAACAGCATAGTTTGAGAGTGTCGGCCAACTCCTCCCTGTGCGCCGGCTTCCTCCACCCTCCACCCTTCAAACATCGTTCTTCCCTGTGCGATTCTGCCTCCAGACGTACCCCCATCAACATAGCTCTTCCCTAGAATTCTGCTATCTGCGTGCTCTTTCCACATTGAACTCCTCTTTACGGGCCTGACTTATACGGGACTATTCAAAGAGTCGTACAAAACTTGGTGCAATTGCTGTTGTACATAGTGCATTAGCTGTTGTACCTTGGTTTGTTCAACAAATCAGCAATGAGACTAACCAGGAACCAAAAAAGACACTCCCCCAGCATCCTCTTCCCTTCACTCTGCCCAGACTGTCAGTAACATTCGTAAACTAATTCCTAACTCTTGATCCCCAACAAGTTCAATACCATTGTTGGGCTGAACTTTTCAAGGTTATGGCCCACGCTCACTGTGTCATGGACCATATTGATGGCACCACTCAACCTGATCGCACTCTCACCAAAACTAAGTGGGACCAAATTGATGCCATCGTTTTTGTTAGATGTGGCTTTTAATTGAAATAGTTAGTTTTATTTTTTCTGTTTTGCATCTTGACTGTTACCTATAAATAGTTGGGTTATCCTCATTTATAAAGATAATCCCAATATTGTAAATAAGATTCCTTCAATTTTCTTTGTTCTTCCACATATTCTCTCTACATAGCTTTCTCTAATTTCTCAACGAACTGGTATCAGAGCCTAGGGTTCCTTCTAATCGCTAAACCCCTCAGTCGCCTTTTTTTTGGAATCATTTCATCGCTTTCGTTAATCGTCTTTCTGTGGGCAATCGAATGGGTTTATTTTGGTGTTCGATTCAAGGTGGAGTTTTCCCTATTCTGAAATCGTTGGTGTGAATTGACGATTTCAGCAGTCAATTTGAGGAAAACGGCATCAACAGTCAAATCTCAAAATTCATCGGTCTAAATTGATTCTTCTTCAATCAATTTCGTCGTTGAGCGTTTCAATTGGTGGTTTCGACTTGTGTCCAGCCAATTAAGAAATTGTCGACTCTTTTGAAGATTAATCTGTATCAAACTTGATTGCTCAGCATTAAATCCTGCACCATAGTTCTTTCAAGATTTTCAAAAAAATGCCTCCACAAATGATCAAGATAGACAAGTTTACAGGAAAGAACAACTTCAGCTTAAGGAGAATAAAGATGAGAGCTCTCCTAAAACAACAAGGCATCTGGATTCCCTTGGCTTCCCTTGGCTGGTGAAAGGCCAGAAGGGCTGGTTGAATTTGAGTTTGCACAACAAGATGAGAAGGCTCACTCTACCATCTTGTTGTCTTTGGCAGATGAGGTGATTTATGAAGCTGTCGATGAGGAGACTGCTGCATCTTTATGGCAAAAACTAGAGAGTCTCTACATGACCAAGTCTTTAACGAACCAGTTGTTGTTAAAGCAAAGGTTATTCTCATTACGAATGAAGGAGGGAATGCCTTTGAAGGAACATCTTGAAGAGTTAAACTCCATTCTTATGGATTTGAAGAATGTTGAAGTCAAGATTGAAGATGAGGATGCCGCCCTCATCTTATTGGTTTTGTTGCCCACTTCATATGAAAATTTTGTGAACTCGTTCGTCGTTGGTAGAGACACAATTACAATGGAAGAAGTTCGTTCAAGTTTGCACTCACGAGAGTTGCCAGACAAAGCTTCAGGAAGTAGTTCCGAAAGCCAAACGGTAGGCTTGTCGGTGGTAAAAGGAGATAGAGACAGAGGTAGAGATAAAAAGGCCGAGAGAAAGGAAAAGGGAAGTGGAAAATTAGAGGCCGATCAAGATTGAAGACTAGAGGTCCAAGTGGAAACCCAAGGGATAGCTGCCACTATTGTAAAGAACCGTGTCATTGGAAAAATGAGTGTCCAAAACTGAAGTCAAAAGAATTTGTTGCTGTAGCAAAAGATGATTCGGGTTCGGAGGCTAATTTGGTGCTCAGTGGTTGATTGCAAAAGTCAATCAGAGGTTTAGATTCTTGATTCCGCATGTTCATTTCACATGACACCACATAAGGATTGGTTCAACACTTATGATAAGATTGCAACCAGAAATGTCTTAATGGGAAATGACATGTCGTGCAATGTTGTTGGAATTGGATTGGTGAGCATTAAATTGCATGATGGGATAGTGAGAACTCTAACAGATGTTCGTCATGTACCCGGGTTGAAGAAGAACTTAATCTCTCTGGGAGTGTTCGACTCAAAAAGCTTCAAGTACACCGGTGAGGGTGGAGTAATTCGGGTCACTAAGGGTGCATTAGTAGTGATGAAAGGAGTCAAGAGAGGTACCTTGTATATGCTGGAAGGTAGCACAGTTGTAGGATCAGCAGCACCAACCATTAATTCTATAGAGAATGAGTTAGATTTGACACGTCTGTGGCACATGAGGCTAGGGCATGTTAGTGAGAAAGGCATGGTAATTCTCAGCAAGAAAGGACTTTTTGGAGGTCATAGAGTTGCTGAACTGGGCTTTTGTGAGTATTGCATCTTTGGAAACAAAGGAGAGTGAGTTTCTCAAAAGCTGTCCATACAACCACGTCGACTTTAGATTACCTACACGCTGATTGTTGGGGTCCCTCGCAAGTTCCTTCACTTGGTGGTGGTCGTTACTTCCTCTCAACTATTGACGACTACTCTAGGATGACTTGGGTATTCGTCATGAAGCATAAGAGTGAGTCATTTGAGAAGTTTAAAGATTGGAGAGTTCTCACTGAAAATCAAGTTGGGAAGAAGATAAAGCGACTGCGAACGGACAACGAATTGGAGTTTTATTCAAGTGAGTTTGATCAGTTTTGTAAAGATGAAGGAAATGCAAGGCATCGAATGGTTAGGCACACTGCACAGCAGAATGGAGTAGCTGAAACGATGAATAAAACACTGCTGGAAAGAGTGAGATGTGTGCTATCAAATGCAGGGTTGAATAGAAGTTTTTGGGTAGAAGCGTTAAACACGGTTTGCTACTTGGTGAATAGATCCCCGGCAACGGAAATTGATTGTAGAACTCCTATTGAGGTGTGGTCTGACAAGGCTGCTGATTACAAGGGCTTAAGAACATTTGGTTGTCCTTCATACTACCAGGTTAGTGAAGGAAAATTGGAACCAAGATCAAAGAAGGGGCTGTTTATGGGATACAGAATTGGAGTAAAAGGCTGCAGAATTTGGTCTCTTGATAAAAGAAAGGTGATTCTCAGCCGTGATGTAGTGTTTGATGAGGAGAGTATGTTACTTGGCGTGAGGTGTTCATCTACTCCAAGTGTTCAAGAGGAGAGTGTATCCGAACAGGTGGAGTACAATTTAAATGGTCCCGATGAAGGCGAGAATATTGTTGGACAACGCAGTAACTCGCCTCAACCAGAACCTGTTGTGCCTGAAAATCAGCACCAGCCTGCGGAATTTCGATCTATAGCATTAGGTATGTCCCGAAGGCAAGTTGGTAGGCCAGTTCGATATGCTTTTGATGACATGGCGGCCTATGCTCTGCAAGTTGCTGAAGAAATGGAGTTCTTTGAGCCATCTACTTACAAAGAAGCAATCACAACGAAGGAGGCTGATGTGTGGATAATAGCCATGAGTGAAGAGATGGAATCCTTCACAAGAATAGAACTTGGGAATTAGTGAAGTTACCTCAAGGCAGAAAAGTTGTGACCTGTAAGTGGATCTTTAAGCGAAAAACGAGGCTGCTAAGAGCTGAAAGTGTGAGATACAAGGCACGTTTGGTGATTAGAGGTTATAGCCAAGAGCAAGGGGTTGATTATAATGAAACTTTTTCTTGCCAGTGGTGCGGCATACATCCATTCGGGTGTTATTGGCACTAGTAGCACAAGCAAATTTGGAGTTGGAACAATTGGACGTCAAAACAGCTTTCTTACATGGTGAACTTGAAGAGGAAATCTATATGAGTCAACCGGAGGGTTTTGTAGCTCAAGGTAAAGAAAACTATGTTTGTAAGCTCAAGAAATCTCTTTATGGGTTAAAGCAATCTCCAAGACAGTGGTATAAACGTTTGACACCTTTATGGTGAGATGGTTTTACAAGAATCCCTTGTGATTGCTCTATATATATCATAAGAAAGGTGTTGATGGGGTCACATTTGTATCTGCTACTTTACATGGACGAAATTAAGAAGTTAAAAAGACTCCTTAATTCTGAGTTTGACATGAAAGATTTGGGGGTTGGAAAGATTCTCGATATGAAGATTATCCGAGATAGATCTAGACGTAAACTTTTCTTGTCCTAGAAAAGTTACATTTTGAAGATACTTTCTCAATTTGGTATGACTTCTGCAAAGCCTGTGAGCACACCTTCATCGGCAAATTTCAGATTATCAGTGGCTTTGGCACCTCAAACAAAGGCTGAGGTGGAGTATATGAGCAAAGTTTCTTATTCTAATGTTGTAGGAAGTCTTATGTATGTCATGGTCTGCATTAGACCTGACATAGCTCATGTTGTTAGTGTTGTTTCACGCTACATGGCTAATCCAGAGAAAGAACATTGGGTTGCCGTGAAACGTATTTTTCGTTACCTCAAAGGCACAACTGATGTAGGTCTCATATATGGAAGGGAGAAGATTGTATTGTGGCTGAATTTTCATATTCTGATTATGCAGCTGACCTTGACACACGGAGGTCATTAACGGGATATGTGTTCACTGTTGGAGATGCCTTAGTGCGCTGGAAAGCGACGTTACAGCCGTCTGTTGCTTTGTCTACAACAGAGGCCGAGCATATGGCTCTTATGGAGGCTGCAAAAGAAGGGATTTGGCTGAAAGGTTTGCTTGGAGATCTTGGGTTTTATCAAGACTGTAGTTTTTTGTGACAGCCGAGTGCTCTTTGTCTTGCAAAAGACCAGGTGCATCATGAGAGAACGAAACATATAGATGTTCGTTATCACTTTATGCTTCGGGAAGGAGAATTAAAGTGAAGAAAGTGAAGACTGATGACAATCCAGCTGATGCACTGATGAAACCTGTTCCTTTGACTAAGTTTAGGCATTGTTTAGATCTTCTAAACATTGATAGCTAGAAGTAAAATTTTCTATACTAGAATTAAAAGCCAAGGTGGAGATTTGTTAGATGTGGCTTTAATTGAAATAGTTAGTTCTATTTTTTCTGTTTTGTGTATCTTGACTATTTACCTATAAATAGTTGGGTTATCCTCATTTGTAAAGATAATCCCAATATTGTAAATAAGATTCCTTCAATTTTCTCAGTTCTTCCAAATATTCTCTCTATATAGCTTTCTCTAATTTCTCAAACAGTTTTATCTTGGATCTGCGGCACTATTCCCCAAGATCTGCTCCTTACAATCCTCAAGCCCAATTCTACTGCAAGAGATGCTTGGCTATGCATCAAGAACCTCTGCCATGACAATAAAAGTGCTCGTGCGGCAGATTTGAAATACCAATTTAATCGCACGTACCTGCATGACTTCCCTTTAGTTTCCCTGTACAGCCAACGACTCAAGATGTTGTTCGACCAACTTTTTGACATCGATGGCGAGTGACCAGCGGTTAGTTCTTCAACTAATTAATGGCTTAACCCCTGGGCTTGATACTATTGGCAGCAGCATCAACAACACCTCGCCACTGCCATATGCTCATTCACGAAGAATCTCGCCATGCCCGTGCCGAAACTACAGACATGATAGCCCACGTCATGCCACCACTAAATGCCTTTGTCTTGGTCTATATCCTCCATCACTCCAAACACCTCCTCTGTTAGCCCATTAAAGTACGTTGACATATTTTTCCACGTCTTTTTAGACTCCCTTTCATACCCAATGCCCTTTTGTGGCCTTTTAATTGTTAAACATACTTAAACCGTCTTCTTATAGGTTCACCACCAACCTCAAAGGTATTTAAATCCCTTCTCTGCCAAATGCAAAGCTCGGTCACTAAAAGCCTATAAGTCACTACAAGCTCCCAATGCATGACTTATAATCTATGCACAATACTCAGTTCGTTTTCAAACAAGAACAAAGCCTATCTAACCAAACTTATCACCTCTACCATAGGTTGCTAGTTGAGTCATATTTCCTAAAATAAGTTTTTACAACCATCAGAACATAAGCTACGATCAAATTTATAGTTTTTTAATCTCATGGACATAGGATTAGCCAAAATCTTCAACAATTATTATTAAGAAGGCTCTATTATCTCAACCTAGATGACTAATAAGATCTCATCCTTTAGAAAATCTTCTCACTAACCAGTTCCTCGCAAACGACTTCGTTTTCGTTTCATAACAATGCTTTCAGTATTAGTAGCCTTAATGCTTTTAGTTATGCCATGATTTTCTCTCTATATTTAAAACACAGGAAACAAGCCATATAAAAAAACGAAAACATCAAGTTACACTACAAACGTGCATACAAATAACATATTGGAGTAGTCCGATTCTTCAATCTCTTCTAGGTTAAGTGGTGTCAAGAATATCATACAATATTTTCATCCAAAACATCAAGAACAAATAACAAAACCCAAAAGAAGAGAAAAAAACCCAATGATTTCTCAAAAGATGCATGTCATGAATATCGCAAAGGTGGTCAAACTATTTACGTATAACACTTGGTTTCAAGAATATCATGTGTTCCAAAAAAGGAGGTTTCACAACTATTATGGACAGTGAAGAGAAACCATGGCAATTGATCTTTTTCAGTATGATTGAAATATGAAGGTAAACAGCATGTGGAAAACCTGAGCTCACCTAGAATGCCACCACCAGCAGTTGAGTCAGTGATAATGCCATTACCACCTCCACTACCAAGTAAACAAGGCAAATTGGCATCTCCATATGGAACACCACCCTCAATGCACGTTCCATTACGACAACCATACCCACCACTACCACCATAACCACCCCCACTGCCAATGCCAATGCTCACCACTTTCCCACTGCCGATACCTCCTTTGCAACCTGTTAAGATGCCAATGTATATATTGAAATTTCAACATCAGTTTACTCATGGAAAATGACACAATAACATGGATCATGTATCATTCAATAAAATGCAAGGTCTCTTTCAAAAGTACGGAAAATGCTGAGGATTTGGATTATCTAGATGTTCTCTCCTTCAAATACAATATTTAGTTTTTAGTGAGCGAGTGTACCCATCTTTGAGGTGCTAATTGTCCCAGTAGATTGAACAGTAACAGTCCTTGCCCTATGAAAATGCACAACAGACCCTTGTATAAGGCCTTCAACCAGGATATCTTCAACACGGCATATCTGAAGAAAATATATAGCAATAGTGACAAAATAGCCAAAGGTATGTCAATCTTTCAAGAAGTGGTAATTATTAGATCAATTACCTGAAGAGTAAAGGACAATGAAGCATTCACATTGCAGTCGTCAGGTGGATTCAGCAGTTCGTGTGGACATTCTTGAGAGTCACAATTTGGTTTCAGCATCCTAACGTATAAAGCATAATACTATTTAGTAAACCAATAATAAAGCACATCGGAGTAAGCTACAATGAACAAACAGAAACTGACTCTTTTTGAGGTAAAGGAATAGAAACAGACTTACACACTATTTGCAGAGACATTTTCTAAGGGACCGCGTAAAACAGATCCCGGACCCACCTTTGAACAAGAAGAGGAGAAAGTATTAGACTAGTTACTGAGAAAACCAAATATCAGATAACAGCAAAACGTATAAAGTAGAGACCAGCTTTACAGGAAGCGAGCAGACAATGATGGGGACAGGGTTTTCCATTGATAAAACTTTGTTGGGGCGCAAGGAGCATCTAGATGAGCTTCAATTTAAGCTATAAATAAGTCCATAAACAGATTTTATAGTCTTATCAAGAGCAACCACGTCTACATAGAACATGTGATCAGATCTTCTGCTCATCTACTAGTTTCATGGCATATTGGATACAAGCTAGGGATTCTCAAGTTCTAATAAAGTCAGTCATGACCTCCCTGAGACTTAAACCTGGTTAGTAAATAAAGTAGATTAATAAGAATATAAACACAATTATAATAAAGTAGTGAATCCTTTAGAGTACGTTGGTCTAAACCAAACTAAACAAACCCAATATATCTTCACACATAGGTAAGGTACTTGGGAAGGATGCAGGCAAACCTTGCCTCTACCCCAAGGGGAAGAGAGGTTGTTCCCATGAAGACTTCCGATTTGCAAAACAAAAAGTATTAGGATATCGTGAGAAAGATAGCTGTGAAGTCGGTGCAAACAAGCATCAGCTACAATGAACAAAAATGGCAGGTATGCATCAGAGGGACATAAAATAAAACAAACAAGGAAACATAAAGCAGCAAATTAAATCTACATGGGCAGATATAATAATAAGACTGGGCCGACAGTAAAACCATGAAAAACTAAGACTACCATATATAAGACAAGAAAAGTAGGAAAAAAAAACTCTCAATCTAACAAAGGGATCTAGACCTCTAATAACCCTTCCCCTGCCCACCCTCTACCTTCTCCAAAGTCCCACCCCCTATCCATGTCAGATACAAGTCCCCCACATAGTTCACTACCCTAGTCCTGTGTCTCCAAGTGCTCCTGTCAGAGGTTATGTCCTCAGAAATGTCACCACCATCCCCGTCCTTAGCTGCTCCTCCCACGGCCTCCTTGGCCTTCCCCTCCTCACCCCCAGGACTGTCTTACCTTCTATACTCCTCACTGGGGTCGTCATCCGTCTCCTACGTACATGACCGAACCACCACAATCTACTCCCTCAGTTTATCTATGACAGGCGTAACTCCCAACTCTCCGAAAAGACCTTGTTCGCTATCTTGTCAACATGGTCCAACCACAAGTCCACCTGAGAATCCTCATTTCATTTCACAATTTCCAACTTCCTCTCAAGCACCCTCCTCATCACCCAACGCTTTGACCCATACAACATAGTTGGTCTAATGGCTACCATATAGAATTGCCCTTCTTATTTTTTTGTAACTTTCTTCTTTCGCACAACACTCCACGGCAGCTCTCAAGTCTTCAACTTTGACTACCCCACCTTTATCCAACGTGTACAATATATTGGTGAAATTGAAGGTGGCTCACAGGTTTTCTCAACTTTGTCTGGGGTATTTTAGGTACTTGATTATTCATCGAAGAGTTCTATTAAACTATATGCCAAATAAAACTTTGCATTTCTTTTTGAATGGAGGATTCTATTTTATTAGACAATTAACAAGATTACATTACCTTAAAAAGAAAACCTTGCTACCAATAATGTTAAATAATGTTTTATGGGCTGCCTAAATCACCCTCTGGTTATTAATTATCAATGAAGGGGTGGGTAGAACAGTAACTTTCTAATTCAAGTAAATGTTTTTCCCACGTCTAGTGCCAATTTCAGGAGGGTGGAAGAAGGTAAATGTCAAAGTAAGCATCATTATGGGCATTTATCAGCTGCTTATGATATTATCAATAGAAAAACTAGGGTTGTAGAAACCACAAACGGCTTTCATTAATTTATACAGCAAAATGGTTTCTCAAACAGACCATTAACAAAAAAAATCCCAGTTTTTCTTTCTGGCTCTCTGTTGTGAGTTCATACAGTGCGGGTGAGGGACACGTCTGACATTTAATACACTAGAGAAGAAAATCAATTTATGCCTGTTTATCAGAAAATCGTATCACCAAGATTAGAGCAGGGTGAACTCAAGGTAAAAAGATGCCTAGTTTTGTGAGAAATTGTAAAGAAAATTAGCCAACAGACCTTGACTCAATACTTAGGTTGTGTGTTTCAGTCTCTTTGGAGACACAGGAGTGTGTGTAGGAGTGATATGTCCAATTTTCCAGAAAAAAACTTGGAGAATCTTTACTTATCACAGAAAAGCACCAGTGCAGATATGCAATATTCATCATATGAACAGAAACACGTCTTCTCTCAAAAGTCAAAATAACAATGTACAAAGAAAGAAAACTTTTACTACAGTAGAATTCCTGCAGTAAAGTTGTAAAAGCTCCATATCTTACTCAAGAGTTATTGAAAAAGTGTGTTCAAGCTTTCAAGTTTAAAAAAAGGTGTTTGAAATTGTTCTAAAGAGGCAGGACTTATTTTATGCAAGAATTACTCAAAAACTGGTTTTATATTCTTGGCTATCGCCATACCCAATGTCCTGAACTCACTTCTCGCCTCCAACCCTTAATTGAAATCCCGAAATCACACTTAGGGTGTTCATAGAATTACAAATCATAGACCACCATGATGCTTATGGGGCAGAATGGACCAATCCAATTAGTTCCTTCAATCATAGATCCAATAACTGAGATAAAGGAAGGACAGCATACATTGTTCAATGATATAGAGAAACTTACAATAAGGTGCTAAAATGAGTTTTAAGGTGGTTCTCGAGAAAAATGGTACCAAGAACAGACAGGTACCATAAGGTGGGTGCTAGAAGGAGTTGGATAAACCAAAAAAGGATGGGTTGTGGTAGAAATGGTACCAAGAACAGACAGGTACCATAAGGTGGGTGCTAGAAGGAGTAGGGATAAACCAAAAAAGGATGGGTTGTGGTAGCCAAGAGAGAAGAGGTTGGAACGCTGCATAGAAAGAAAAGTATGGAGAATATTATTATTGCTCTTGTGTCATATGTGATATGGCAGGCTCACATCTAGTTAATTCTTACAGAATAATGGACACCTATAGATCAGGATAAACGGCTTGCATTGTAGCTATGTATGGTTAACAGCACGCCTACGGCTTATATGCGATTAAGGGCACAACTTGCTACACCATGTCACCATCTACCTAAGAGACAAGCCTTCATGCATGTACCTTGCCAGAAGAGAAATAAAATCCAAGATCCATCAACTAATCAATTATTCTACTGGTATAAAAAGCTAACAATGACCTTTGCTTTAACATATATTTACAAGAAAGCTTCAATAGTTCAATATAACGCCAACACCTATTTTTATTTTCACATTCCAAAAATTGCAGAGAATAAAAGGAGCACCTCTGTGTCCTGAATCCAAAATCCAAGCATATGCTAAATTCAAACATGTCAAAAATTTACTCAAAACGGTGATAAGAAGACTTGAAGTTAAAACTGAAAATTTTTGCATTGTAGACAAATTATCAATCAATCTATAAAGCATGTGATATATAAGTGAACTAATAAAGAGTGAAACTAAGTCATTTACATGTAACTAGACAGCCATAGTCAGCCTTTTGTTTACTCCTCTGCACATAAATATAATTATCAGATCACACCAGAAGATATAGCTACTTACATTGACACCATAAAACAGGGACAGAACCAGACGTTGTGCTTCAATACAGTCACCTGGCCCTGACAAGTTCAACAAACCTTGCCCATGAACCCCAAGATTAGCATTTGAGCTTATGGTAGAAGATCCCTGAGAAAATAGAAACATGGTCAGTCACAGAAAGCATACCATGGGAAACATCAACTTGAATAGTCTTCTGAGCACCTTGAGAACAATAAGATTGCTAGCCTCAAGAAAAGAATTCTGCACATTCTTCTCGCCCTCAATCTCAATAAGCAATTGTGAATTCCACATCAAGAACATTTTTACAGACATACGCAGAGCCCCATAAACCTAAAAATACCAAACTCCATCGTCAAATAAGTGTATAGTCTAGGATCAAACAAGAATCGTGCCTAGGAGAAAAAGTATTATACATAAGCATTTATAGCAGGCATCATTTATCATAAGAAAATAAGCATGGTAGACATAAAATAGTAATGAAAATTCCAATGCTTCAAGTAGGAAGACACTTATTTGAACTTATTTTCGTTCATAGCATCTTGAAGTCTTTCCTTGACAGTTACCATACTTCCTGTCTTTGGGGATGTGTGCTACATTCCTTAACTAGCTTGATTTCACTCTTTGATGTTAAAATATTTCAAATCAACTTATGAGTGACTAGTCAAAGCAGTCAGCCAAAGGAAAAACATCCATACTAGATTTTTGTTGGCACTCATGGATGTATTATTGGTCGTCTAAGCTAAATCAAAATCGTGCTGTATTACACTCCATTATTTTCAAGAATGTTGTTGTAATAACATTTTTGAGGAATTGTTACATCCAGCAGCCGTCTCAATATGTCGAAATTTCACATGCAGATCGATGCTCCAAAATTGATAATTTGGAGAAGAATATTGTAGCTTGAAGTTACAAAACTTTTGATTATTCATCTTATAAGGTTAGCATAAGAAAAATAGGTGTTGGTTCAATCTTGATTCCCAAGGTCAAGCATATGTAATTTACTAGTGGTATCAAAGGTACACCTAGGCTCAAGGCATAATGAGGGCCAACACTAGGCTGCACCTTGGCTGCACGAAGTGTTATTAAAGGTGCAATACCAAGGTCCAACATCGAGAAATTGCAGAGCCTTCTAGGACATGTTATACCCACGGTAGTATTGGTCAAACTGAGTTGTGTTGGTCAAAATAGGTGGCTGAGTGTGGAAGTCAATTAGTTGAAAAGGCTGGGTGTGGTAGAAAAGTACAAGCCATCAGTGCATAGGTATAAGTGGATAATGCAAAGAATTGTAAGGCGGTGAGTAGCTTTATGTAGTATAAATAAAGGGGACAAGAGGTGAGAAAGGGTATCGAGAGTGCTGTTCATTTGAGTTTGGCAAAAGCCGTGGGGGATCTACAACTATTCTTGAAGTGTCAGAATACTATTTACATTCATTTTCCATTTCCAATAACATATAGAATTCCTCTGTGTGTGTATCAATATTATTGCCATGCGTACGGAGTACAACAATTGGTATCAGAGCAGCGATCCTGGACAATGACATGTACGTTGGCTACAAAATTTGAAAAGATGGAAGAGAGCATCGAATGGTACAAGCAGAAGTCATTTCTTTGAAGAAGGACATGCAAACGTAAAAAAGCAGCTGGAGTGGCCAATTAAGAGGCGAGAGACATCAAGGAGACGATGGCGCCTTTGAGGACATAAGAACATGAGCCACCATCAATGAAGATTAGATCTGGGGAACGAAGGGGTGATAGAGGTGGTGGTACAGGAACAAGTCAACAAGAGGTAAACCGGCTCTTCTCAATTAAAGAGAGGAAGTGAAAATTCCAATTTCGCTGAAAGAAACCCGATGGATGGGCCATTAGAGCATATCCTTATTTCTTGTTAAACTGAATCCCGAAGGAGGAGCAAAATTGAGGTTGCCATTTAGTCAAGAGGAACGTGTAGAGATGGTTTCTGACTTTCTGTGGGAATATAAGAGGTGTCGGGTAAGAAAATGGGATGAATTAACAACCATGACATTAAGACAATTTAAGGCGTCAACTGGCGGAAGGGAACAATTTATGGCCGTTAAATTGAAGGACTAAGAGTTGATTACACCAACAAAATCGTTCCCTCCGTTTCCTCGTTGGATTGAATGTCCTATGAGGTATTTTTAGGTCAACATGTGAATAGATCAAGTCCATTGGTTCGAGCACAAGTAAGGTCGTTGGCCCCAGTCAAATTAAGCAACACCATGGAGTAGCTCAGAAAATCAAGGGGAGAAATTTCAAGCATTAGAAGTGCAAATTAGACAGCTACGCATACTGGGGATGGTTCTTGGAAGAGAAGGCGGGGAGAGCTGACTAAGAGAGACATGCCCAACGAATTAAGGAACAAGAGTTCAAGAACTTACTGGTAGGGTGATACAGCAGAAATAGCTCAAGACATGTCTTCTTGTTGTGATGAGAAGTCCTCCAAGACAAAAATACAAAAGAAAGGGGGTAGGTGTACTAGTGTTGCAAGTGAAGAAAAGGAGAGAATAATCTGGATTGGAATCAATTTAGGCAATTGAAGAGAGTGGTGGAATTAACAAATTAATAGATGGGGGCGACAATGAAATTTTGGATTTACAATTGGGACATGTTTCACTATCAAAAGAAAGGGAATTCGGTTGGCAATGAGAAGGTCGGTTAGGCAACACCCACTAAGAACCACTATTGTCGTTGCAGCTACCATCACCACCATCAGTCGTGTGGAAAGCGCTTGATTTGAACTTCTATTCTTCCACTTTGAGGACAAGGTGAGAGTTGGTGGTAGGTATTAGGGTAGTATTGTCAAAGTGTTAAACTGACAATGTTGGTCAAAATAGGAGCTTGGGTTTGGAAGCCAAGTAATCAAGAAAGGTGGGTGTCATAGGAAAGTAAGCCATTAGTGATGCACAAAGTTGTAAACCGATGAGTAGCTCCATGTATAAAAGGGACAGGAGGTGAGAAAAGGTACCGAGAGTTCAATCATTTGAGTTTGGCAAAAGCCATCAAAGACATCTAGCAGTCTCGAAATGCTAGAACACTATTTGTAATCATTCAATTTCATTTCCAACGTGGGCCTGGAAGGGGGGTCCAAGTCATCTATGCTAACAATCCATCCTCCCCCCTCCCCCCCCCCCCAAGGAGAACACCATATCAATCATAGTACAACCAAAGGTAAGATTTGTATTTCCTTCTCACAAACAAGTAGTTATAGAAGGTTTATTCCAACTCTTTGAGAGGCTAGAACTCTCCTAGGCTCTTACCAAGACAGACTCAACAAACTAACTGATGCCTTCCTCACCTTCAGCCCCTTCTTTATACTAATACCAACCGACTTACTACCCATGCATCACCTACTTGTAGGTTGTAGCAATACGCTAATGGTTTGTACTTTCCTATCAACAACTTCCGATATTAACCATTTAACTACCCATGATATAACAATACCATCCCCCAAACTCTCACTTTGTCCTCAAAGTAGGAAGAAAGAAAAAGATTTGAGCTCTTTATGTCATTGACTAGTTTAGTGGTGGTGGTTACCGATGGCCTAACCAGCCAATTGTGGCCCCTTGTCAACGAGATATAGTTCATACTTTTCTCCGATGCTTGATTGGTCAAGGTTGTTGGCATACACTTCTTTTCCATACTGGACTATTGCCTTCTTCTTTGGTGTTTCCTTGTGCATGGTTTCAATCTCCTCTTTGATCAGCAGAATATACGACCTTTCAACGTCTCTTTCGCAAGTTTAGGCAAGGGAATGAGACCCACCCCATTGGAGAACCCAGTGTACCCGCCCCGACGGGGACGGGGATTCCCTGCAAAACTAGGGATCGAGGATGGGGACGGGGACGAGGACGGGTAACATGGTCCCCGCCCCGCCCATCCCCGAATATTAAATATATTATATATATTTATTATTAAATACATTATTATTTATAAAGAATTAGATTCAATATCTTTAGATTTAGAAATAGTATTTTTGACATTTATTTTATATACATTTTTTTGAGTTGTCTTACTTTTTAGATAAAAAAACGTTGAAAGTTGAAAGCGTTTGATCAAACAATTACGTATGTGATATGATTTTGTTCATATATAAATATTTGATAGTCTATAAAAGCAAATTTTGAAAATATGTGAGTTTTAAGCATGGACAATTATCGGTCGAGTGTGGTGTTTAGAACATTTGCTTTATAATATCTTATATTAACGGGGATGGGGATTGGGGTCCCCGCCCCATTCACATGCCTACGCAAGGTCACAATGAACCTTATCCAATTTCTCATTAAGGTTTTCCCATCAGAACTCCAATGTTGTACATCTCCTTAAACCTAAACCAACTTAGGCCTAATTCCTCTACGAGTAGATCAGTACTAGTACAACATCCTCTTCAACTCTCCACATGTTGTGATCATTCTTTTTTTCTTTTGCCCACAAAAACCAACGAAGTGCAGCACCTTTGAAAGAATTAAAAAAAAAATTTCAATCAATCGATTTGAATGTGAGATATCTTTCAGCGACGAGGATTTCCAACAGTTACCCCTTATCTACGAAATGCTGCCCTCCTTCCAATTTTCATATCCCCTGTATCTAGGCTTCGATGACTCTCCTTCCAAAATCGACGTCGCATTTGACCTCGTATTTTCTCTTGCATCTTCAATAGTGTGATTCCATCTCGTTCATTATTACTTAAACGTCCTTTACTGCGTCGACTACTACTTACATCGAACTAATATTCCCTTCCAATTGGTCAATCCCTGATGAAATACTCCTAGTCATCCGTAGATAGTACCACTCGGATACCAATTTGATGGATACGAGATCCAATCACAGGAGAATCAAGATTAAGTTTTGTATTTACATCTCAGAAACGAGTAATTACATAAGGTTTTTTCCAGCTCTTTAAGAGGTTGGAGTTCACCCATACTCTTGCCAAAACAAACTCAACAATTTAATCAATGCCTTCCTCACCTTCAGCCCCCTTACTTATACTAATACCCACCAACATACTACCCCTGCATCACCGACTTGTACTGCTGTCCTAGTGGTTTGTACTTTCCTACCACAGCCTACCAATATTTGACCATTTCACACAGCCTACCAATATTGACCATATGACTACCACACTACCTAAGGTATAACCAACCAGTGAATATAAAAGTAAGACAAAAACACCAATCAGTATCACGATATGTGTTCAATAACACTCTCAAGTAAGCATTCATTTGGATTAAATGTGTTACAGTGAGTTTAGAAATGCATGGACTTCGGGCTCTGATGTTATTGACCATATGACCCATAGTTCAAACCACTTCAAAA